TCAGAGACGCCGATGATACAAATAAAACATTGGGAGCCTCACACATTTTCCGAGAGGCCTTAAAGAGCATCATATGCCTTGTCTAAGTGCACAATAGTGATGATGTGCTAAATGGTAAATAATTATAATAATATACTCGAAATAATGTGACATGTATGAACAAACACTTAAACAGAAAACCTCAGTACATGAACAGAGGTCATTTGACCTCTATATTTCATTTCTAGAAGAGAGAGTTCACGGGGGGTTAAGACACAAGGTTCCGACATCTCTGCTGGCTATTGTCATCAGCCGCCTGCATGAGAATTCGAACCCAAAACATGAGAGTGAGAATCAAGTGTACTATCCACTGTGCTTATGTATTCTATTACAATTAACAGAAACACAATCAATTGTAGTGTATGTCTATAATTCATGAACACGGAAATCTTTTTTAGACTTTGGAGCATAGACCTAGAGATACGGAAGATATCGCAGTGATCAAAGCAAAAACATAGGCCCTCGACCAGCTAGTGGAAACTATCTCTTTGATGACTGCTTGGATGTTGTGGCGGCAGCTACAATCTTATATGCTTGATATATCAAATACAGTTGCCGTGTTATAGAAATGTCGGAAGACAAAGGGATAAAGAAATATCGCAGGAGGGAAAGGTGCAAAAGGGGGGTGGGGGTGCAAAGAATAAAAAGAGGAAATAAAGAAATGAGAAGCAGCAGAACCACCATTAGCAGAAGAAAAATACGAAGAAAGAAGACTGAACAAGCGAAAGAGAAGGATTGAAGGAAGAAGAATAAAATGAGGTGGAAGGGACAGGAAAGAAGCACAGGTGAAAATGAGGTGGAGGAAAAAGAATACATTCTTGCTGAGGTTTTCAATGTTTGTATTTTTGTCCTAAAAATACTTGCCATTTTCCCCAGTTGCCACTAAGATTTTCACTTGCGATTGCAAATTCTGCGAATGAAACGAAACGTTTCAGTACGATGACACACACCTTCGTTGATTAACTCTTTTAGGACGGAATTTTTTCTGGGGTTTGGACAGCATTAATTTTAAGCGGAATTTTTTTAGTGGAACACGACAAAGCTAAAACCTTTCTGAAGAAAAAGTATGGGCTGTATCGGGACTAATACTATATCAAATTAAAGATAAATGAGTGTAGAATAAATCTAAACTACTTAAATGTCAGTAGAACATCAAAATTGTATTAAAATCACACAACATTCAAGGATGCTAGACACATATGAAAATTTTTGACATAAAAAATTGTGTGCTAACCTTATTTTTTACTGGTTCAACAACACTGCTATCCAATTCTAAAAATACATTTGCCTTCTCTGTTCAATTATGTATTAGCTAGTCTTTATTTGAAACAATTAATTTAAATATGTGGGACAAATATATATATATATATATATATATATATATATATATATATATATATATATATATATATATAGAGAGAGAGAGAGAGAGTGAGAGACAGGGAGGGAGAACGAACGAACTTTATTTTCAAAGGGTCACAAATTGGGCACACAGGCCCGTCTTACATTCGGCCCTTCCAGTCAACCATCTTTCGCACAGCAGTTGTATTTTACTAATAAGGCATGTTATAATCATATGATGATATGCATATTATGAATGTTATAAAAGAATACAAAAGCATGAGTTATAAAGTGCATGCAAAAACCTGCGCGTGCATATACACACGCTCACCCACTCACATACATAAATGCATGCATACATACATACAGGCATACACACATACATACAGGCGAGAGAGAGAGAGAGAGAGAGAGAGAGAGAGAGAGAGAGAGAGAGAGAGAGAGAGAGAGAGAGAGAGAGAGAGAGAGAGAGAGAGAGAGACAGAGACAGAGAGCTACAACTACAATAATAGTTTTAGAATCGAACGATGTTTTCCAGGAATAATACATGACGTTATAATCTAAAAGTAACCTAGGGACTTCCCGCCGGATGTAACTCACAGCCCAGTCCCGGCAAATCTTCTAGAACTTGCCAGAACATTCGAGAACAAAACGCTGCACTCACTTTCTACTCTGTGACCTTACTACTTCCTAATATAGATTTTCACTCTTCTTCTAGATTAAGTCCAAAATTTATCAAAGTTTATTGTAACAATAACGAATTGGAAATAATTATATAGTTGTTAAATGTTTTTTTTAGAAAATATTAACGAACGCTGTATAAAACATACATGCAGTGTAATATATGAGCGGAGGGATACAGAAATCGTCCTGTCTATTTGAACGGTAGCTAACCACGCCGTCTTGTATCAGCACAAACCTTCCAACAAGACGCCGGCGTCGTGGACAAAGACTGTCCAACATTCGTTGCTCAAATATTCACTGACACCAAGTTTTCAGATCGATTCTCATTCTCAGCCATCCAAGGTAAACTTTATGTTGTATTCAGTAACTAACATTTTCCTAATTAGAAACAAAACGCGTTTTGAACCGTTGCTTTGTTAAATTTTCTTTATTCCAAACTAGGAAATCGTACTTTGTGAAACTGAAATTAACTTTTCTGGTTTTGTGTCCTGTCTTGAATATTAAATTTTTATCTGGGACAGTTTAATTCAGCATTCTAATTTGCAAGTTTGAGCTGGCTATATCTGTTTCAAATACCAGTGAATTAATTTCCCTCTAGGTAGATCTCTGAAGCTTTCTATATTCCCAACCCAATTGAGCAGGGGCTGTTGTCTCAGCCAACACACTTGCACAGGCCGAACCGTCATCACTTTGACGCCTCCTGCAGTTTCCAATAAACAATAATATATATTTTCTGCGTCTGAAAAACGGTTGAAAAAAAAAAAATCGTGATTTAACAGATGACGCAAACACTTTAAAAAAAAACAAACTGGGGGGGGGGGGGGGGGGGGGGGGGGGGGGGGGGGGGGGGGGGGGGTCGTCTTGTACCAGTGCAAGTTTTTTAAAATTCTAATTCACAGGTATTTAGTTTACATTTTCATCCTGATATGTGAGTGGTAATTTTTTTTGGCTATCCTGAATGACGGTCCTAAATTATCTAGGCGGATAATGCACCCTGACAGGGTGCGGATAGGGGGCTAAACTAGATGGCTGGGAATCACGAGCAAATGCATTGAAGGAAGTTGCAGGAGACGCTGTAGCTGCTGCTCGTAAGTCCCAGCCATCTAGTTTAGCGCACCCCCCCCCCCCCCCCCCCCGCGCGCTGCGGTGAGTTAAATCAAAAACATCGCTAACCTGCGTCTGATTGCATGGTCTCCCCCAATATGTCGCTATTATCTGCGTTTCTTAAAACTGTAAACGGACAGTAATTCTAGTTTTGCTGCGTGTGTTTTTCCGAGGAAGCCCGCAATTTGCATGTGATTGAGGCCATGTTAGGGTGTGTTTTTGGCTGTTATAATGTGGCCGTTGTTCAGAGGATAGCATGTTCGGCTATCTTCTGAATAACGTTCCTAAATTATCGAGGCCGAAAATAACCCTAACGGCTTAGATTGGGGCTAAACTAAATGGCTAGGACTCACAAGCAGCAGCTACCGCATCTCCTGCAGCTCCCTTAATTTTTTTTTTTTGCTCGTGAGTTCCAGCCATCTAGTAAGCCCCACCCGGCGTGGGAGGTAATCTTGGCAGTGACGAAAGTAGCAATTTACGCATGACTGAGGCCCTGTTGGGGTATATTTTCGGTTCAGGTGATAGCCGCCTGTTCTGCTAATATCAGGGAAAGCCATGTTATATTTATGAGCTGGATTATCTTCACAGCACTCCTGGCTCTGGACATAAGTGCTCAGATTATCCCTGCAACATGAAAAACATCAGGGTCCTTAAGTTTAATAGTGCAAGTCCTGAGCTGGTTAAGGCATCGCTTTCTCTTCCTTCATTTTTATCACACGCAACATGCGCTGCTATTTGGACCTTTAACTCGCATTTCTAGTATTCTTAGCAGTGATGCTGAAAAGACCTATTACCTCCATAACAATCATGTTGTAAGAATGCAAATGCCTTGTGTTGCAGTCAACCAATTTCTGGATTTAAATAAGTTGGATGTGTCCAACAAATCTGCACAATGCACCCAGGTTCTGCAACAAGAAAAGTTTAGGGGTGGATGAATATATAAAACTTTTTTGCTGCAGTTTATCGGCAGTGAACACATTTGTAATAAAGCTTTTTTTTCCCCTACGTAGGACAAGTTCGCATATTTTGTACATCTAGAGATTGTAGAACCCTTTCAGGCTATTCACTTTTGCAGGACTTTTAGGGTATTGATGTGTTGATTGTAAGTTGTCTGTTGTTAAGAAGATCAGTTAATTGTGCATTCGTCAGATTTCTTCACTACAGAAACCATTATTTTTCTTGCATATGAACTATTTAAAAGAGTATAATGTGGAAAGAGACGTCTGTGGCTTATTCGTTATGAATGTGCTTTGTAATTTTGAGGTGTCGGTTTGATCCCAACTGCGGACAATTTTTGTGTTGGTTTCAACAGACGTACCAAGAACTGACCGCTTAGAAACAATGGCAAACTAATAAACTTCAAATTTACTTAAAGAAACAATTTACATGTGATTGAGGCCCTGTCAGGGTGTGTTTTTGGTCGCCTAAATATGTGGCTGTTATTCGAAGGATAAACTGTTATGCTAAAAATTAACTTTTGTTATCACAACAAAACAAAAACATAGAAAAAAATCCTAGGCTTGGTTCTGGAACATTTTGTAATGGTTGTTACAAAATAGTTAGTTGCACTTTAAACTGAATGTAGATAAAGTGTAACCACAAAATACATGTCTGTGGTTACAGATGCCAACAATACACGGTGCCTGAAGGGCTATTGTCGTGTGTGCTCAGAAATAATTTTATATAATTTCTACCATTGAGTTGACAAAAGTCAGAAAATCCTTGAATTTGGCAGTTTCCTATAAAATCCTCAAATACTGAAAGGCTTAAGGATGAGTTTGAGACCCTACACATTATGTATTATCTTTATATGTTGATTGTTTCTTCTTCAGATGCCTGAACTTCAGACCGAAGGCAATGAGATTGTCGAGGCCGAGAGGGAGACCTTTGCCTTCCAGGCTGAGATTGCCCAGTTGATGAGCCTCATCATCAACACCTTTTACAGCAACAAGGAAATCTTCCTCCGAGAGTTGATCTCCAACGCCTCTGATGCCCTTGACAAAATCAGATATGAGTCCCTGACAGACCCTAGCAAACTGGACAGTGGTAAAGAGCTGTACATCAGAATCATCCCTGACAAAGAGAACAAGACACTGACCATTGAGGACACTGGTATTGGAATGACCAAGGCTGACCTGGTGAACAACCTGGGAACCATTGCTAAATCTGGCACCAAGGCATTCATGGAGGCTCTGCAAGCCGGAGCTGACATTTCAATGATTGGTCAGTTTGGTGTGGGCTTCTACTCCGCCTATCTTATTGCTGACAAGGTGGTGGTTCACTCCAAGCATAATGATGATGAGCAGTACATCTGGGAGTCCGCCGCTGGGGGCACTTTCACTGTTGGCCCATCCACAGCTGCTCCTATGTCCCGAGGCACCAGAATTATCCTCTACCTGAAGGAGGATCAGTTGGAGTATTTGGAGGAGAAGAGAATCAAGGAAGTGATTAAGAAGCACAGCCAGTTTATTGGGTATCCAATCAAGCTTCTGGTAGAGAAGGAACGTGACAAGGAAATCTCTGACGACGAGGAGGAGGAAGAGAAGAAAGAGGATGAGATGGAAGACAAAGAGGAAAAAGAAGACGAGAAGCCTAAAGTTGAAGACCTTGATGAGAATGATGATGAAGACTCAGCCAGTAAGGACAAGAAGAAGAAGAAGAAGATCAAGGAAAAATACAATGAAGAGGAAGAGTTGAACAAAACCAAACCTCTGTGGACAAGAAACCCAGATGACATTACTCAGGAAGAGTATGCCGAGTTCTACAAATCCCTCACAAATGACTGGGAGGACCATCTTGCAGTCAAACACTTCTCTGTGGAAGGACAACTAGAATTCAGAGCTCTGCTGTTCATCCCCAAGAGAGCCCCATTTGACATGTTTGAGAACAAGAAGAAGAAGAACAACATTAAATTGTACGTTCGCAGGGTCTTTATCATGGACAATTGCGAAGACTTGATTCCAGAGTACTTGAATTTCGTCAAGGGTGTCGTAGACTCCGAGGACCTGCCACTGAACATCTCCCGAGAGATGCTTCAACAGAGCAAAATCCTCAAAGTCATTAGGAAGAATTTGGTTAAGAAGTGTGTGGAACTCATTGAGGACCTCGCAGAGGATAAGGAGAACTACAAAAAGTTCTACGAGAACTACGCTAAGAATCTTAAGGTAAGGTTTGTTTAAGTTTACTGTTTATTTTAATCTCTTTTGACAGTGAAACCTTATCTTACGACCAAAATGTCAACCACATGAAAGCTACTAAGATAAACTTGCTGTGCATGGCAAGCACTCAGCCTTGTAGCAAAGCTTAAAAAGATTTTTGATACATTCTGGGGTACTACTGTATAATTGTTAAACTGGCACTTTTGGTACTTCTTGAGCATGTACAGTCTGAGATTTTCTTCTGTTGGTCTGGCATCTTAAACATGGGTGCATGGGTTTCACACATTTACTCCCAGCAACGAACAAAAAATCCAAACGCTGGGCTTATTTTCTAAGATTTGTTTCGGGGTCCTACATTTTTGATACAAGTACGGACCTTTAAAAAGAAAAGGCCAGACTGTCCGTGTGAACCCTGATTGCTCAGCTGTTTTGTCCTATACGCTAGTTCTTTGCTGGGCATTGTCAGGGTTCGAGGGGCGGGTGGCAGTCTAGCACATGCTTCTGATGTACATGCATGTTCCTTAATAACTCAAGTTAGCTTGGCCACACTGCAATTGTCCAGACTGTTTGCTAAGGTGGGCGGCTGTCCCACACTTACCCTCTCTTCGCCCCCTAACATGATCATGACAGTAACTTTTTTTTTTTTTGCTGTTTGCATTCACCTGTAGAAAGTTTTGTCATTTGTCCACTTCTGAATTTAGTCTTGTCCCAGAACTTTTGTGCACCCATCCATATAACATCTAGCTGATTTGTATGCAGACTGTTGGTTTCTCGCCTTTGTCAAATGCATTTCGGCACTGCTAATTATTTTACTCCTATTGTAAGCTGGTTAGTAGTGCCCCGCTGACAATAGGGTTTCAGGACGTAATACAGTAAGCCTTTTGTGTTTGGTTTCTCCAGTTTTGTTGAGCTATTTCCTTATTCCTAAGTCATTCAAATTCTAACCAAAGTTGCATGGAAATATATGGGGTACTGTCTTGTGTAAAATATGGATCTTGTTAAAAAAGTATTAAGGACCTTAAGTCTGATATGCAACTTCTTCTTAAGCAATGTAGCAACATGTAGTCTAATATACTGTGTCTGTTGAACAGCTTGGCATCCACGAAGACAGCACAAACAGGAAGAAGCTGTCAGATTTCCTGAGATACTACACATCCCAGTCGGGTGATGAAATGACATCACTGAAGGATTATGTATCCAGAATGAAGGAAAACCAGAAGGACATCTACTACATCACAGGTTTGTCACTTGTATGTGGTGTATTTGTTATTAAGGGGTCACTACACGGCTTTTTCCCCCCAATTTATGACAAAAATATCACTTTTTCAATGTGGTAATTTCTGTGATGTTTGGCATTCGTAGAATAGATTTAGATTACACACAAAATGGTAAACAGTTAGTTTAGCATTGAAAAGTTAATACTAAAGACACCAACCCATGCACTTTTTTAAGATAAAAAGTATAAAAGTCACTTTTCTAACAATTCTATTTTTCTGTTTGTTGTGTGTGGGATCTCTTAAAATCTCAGCTAATATAAAGAGATTTGAAATTTGGTGTGGATACTCCTAACATAATATTATAGGGTCAGGTCTATTTGAAATTACAGTTTATTTTTTAAAATTTTTGAATATTAAATGAAAAAGCCACATTTTTGTATTTTTTTAACATACCAAAATTTTAACATTCTAAAAAAAATATTTAAAAAACATCTTTGAAGTAAATAAACAAGACCTGACCCTAAACATATTTTAAGTTCATGAATCGATTATGTTTTTCAATACCTCTCTAAGTACATGTTGTTTTTAATTTGTCTTAACATTTTAAGTAAAAAAAAAATTTTTTTCTGTAGTGACTCCTTAAGTTATTATGTGACAATCCATGCTTTCTTGACGTGTTTCCTGGGGCTGTAAGACATTTCTTTGCCGTCTCCATAAGTAAAGGTTGGATACCATATGCCCACTGCTGTCTTTAGAAATATTTCTTATGTGGGTTCTTGAGCCCTGGTGTGGGGGGAACTAGAACGAACCAAAGGTTACTTACTAAACAGTGGATGTGCATTCAAAACTAAAGACTTGAGGTGGACAAACTAGAGCTTTCCGCTAGAGTTTACAGCTGATGGAACGCAAAGAAAAAGAAATATGCTGGTGCAGCTCCTGTTGGGAAACAATGAGTGGTTTGTCTGCATGTGTAGCAGTAAGGAAAGCAACCCGTATCAAGATTGTCATGATTTGTAAGAGGGGAAGAGCATGAGACTGACTACTTCATTTGGTTAAACTTGCAATCACTAAGGCAGAAACATTTTCTCAACCCTCACCTTAGCTGGCTTTTAAACTGTTTACCTTTAAAAATAATATACACGATCAGAAACAAATGGACCAATTCAAGACACAGGGAATTCATATGTACTATAATACTAAATTTGAATATTTTGAATGTATTTGTGTAGAAAATAATTGTGCCTTTTGCCCTGTGCTGTGGTGTTTACTATAATATTTTACCATCCACAGGTGAAAGCAGAGAGTCTGTTCAGAATTCTGCATTTGTGGAAAGAGTCAAGAAGCGAGGCTTTGAGGTCATCTACATGATTGACCCCATTGATGAGTACTCCGTACAACAGCTGAAGGAGTATGAGGGCAAGAACTTGGTCTGTGTCACCAAGGAAGGCCTTGTGTTGCCAGAGGATGAGGAGGAGCAGAAGAGGCTGGAGGAGGCCAGGTCTCAGTTTGAGGGACTCTGCAAGGTCATGAAGGAGATTTTGGATAAGAAAGTTGAAAAGGTATGTCAGGGTCATTATAACTTGCTTGTATTTCACTAATGTTTAAAAATGTCACTTGCAAGTTGATTTACCTCCTTTGTGATATTAACTTAGTGGTCATGGGAGCTTTATTCTAGTTGAACAAGGAAAGGTTAGGTTTTCTTTGAAAATATGGTCACTGCCTGCGCCGCTTTGACATTTTTTTTCTCCTCCACATATATGCCTAATTCTCAATTAAGGATCTGTTTGGGAAACTGCAATATACTTCAAGAAGTCTAGGATTAGTGATATAGTAGTAGGTATGAGCTATGTTAGAACAAGAAAATTGTCTGGTACACAAGTTGGCAGTGAATGAAACAACTAGGGTAATACAGTAAACAAGTAGTTAGTAAATGTTAGTCAGCACATGTTGCCTAGAGTTTAGTTTCCCCTGCCTTCTGGTTCCCAGTGATCAATCAAGGACTGTTTGGAAACTTGATTTTATGTAGCATCAGCAATCACTTAGCTTTTGTTTCTCGGAGCATTCCTTTTCATGTGGGTTTCAGGGTCCCATTTTGGGTGCAGAGAAGATAGATTCACTGTCTGCCATAAGTCATATTTTGTAAAAAGCAAACTTACAGATGTTTGTTGTGTAGCTGGGAAAAAGCTTACTGTACTTTTATGGGTTAATGCAGAACGGTGATTGTTCACTAACATGACCCCCTCCCCCACCTCCATTTTAGCTGCTAAGAATTGACATTTGGAGCTTGGTTTTTTTCCCCCAGTTAATGATTAAATAACTGTCCCAAATTTCATACTGCGTTTTTTATGCCTAAAATATTTAGCTAAAATAATTCTGAATATGGCTCAGGGAGAAAGAAAAAAAGCCGAACAATTTGTGTATAGACCAGTATTATCAGCAGGGAGGTAATCCGTAGCTAAGTGCTTGCCCACTGCATCAAGGGTCACAGAGACTTGAATCTGCAGTGCAGCAAATTCAGACTTGACTGTCAAATTGACCAAGTAAACTGACGTGAAAAGGGTTCTTGACTTTTGTGACATGCTTGCTTCTAATATTCTTGTACATGGGTGAAATAATTTTCCCTGCTTGTTTGCTTAATTGATGTGTATTGTCTGCAGGTTGTGGTGTCAAACCGTCTGGTGACCTCCCCATGCTGCATCGTCACATCCCAGTACGGCTGGTCCGCCAACATGGAAAGGATCATGAAAGCCCAAGCTCTGAGGGACACTGCTACCATGGGCTATATGGCAGCCAAGAAACACCTGGAAATCAACCCTGACCACCCAATCATCAAGACCCTGAAGGAGAAATGTGATGCTGACAAAAATGACAAAGCTGTGAAGGACCTGTGTCTGCTTCTGTTTGAAACCTCCCTGTTGGCATCTGGCTTCAGTTTAGATGACCCCACCTCACATTCCAACAGAATCCACCGCATGATCAAACTTGGCTTGGGCATTGAGGAGGATGACGCTGTCGCAGATGCTCCAGTTGTCAGCCAGACTGAAGAGATCCCCCCATTGGAGGGAGATGAGACTGACGTTTCACGGATGGAGGAAGTAGATTAACGTTAACTTTCCTATAGGCTTTTTCCCTATTTCTGAATTGGTAAGGCTGCTAATCATTGCCTTTCACCTAGTGTCATGGGTAAAGTGCTCTAGCTCCCCCCACAACTGCAGAATTCTTATTGCCTCATTCCATTGTAGTTTTCATATGTACATGTCATTGCAAAAGCTCGTTTCGCTGTAGATGTGCCCCCTTACTCCATGAACCGTTATACTTGATTGAAGCAGTCATTTCTCAAGTATTTCGTTAGTGCAATTACATGTTTTTTTTTATATTTTGTGGCAATAAATGTCATAATTTGTATTGAGACTTGGGTTGATTGTTTATAATTTTGTTGAATGTGGAGGTGGGGATTAGTAACAATAAATACCAACCTGATACCTTAAACCAAAGATAACTGTAAAATAAGTGTAGTGTGGACCTGATAAAACAACTAACCAGGAATCCAAGAAATTTCTAATTCAGATCCCACCTGAGCCTTAACCAGTCTTCATTGTACAAATGGTATGGAAATGGGTAATATTCAAACCTTAACTGTCCTGGTAGGAGGTATTTATAAGTGCTGCTTGCTTCTTGTAGAACAAAGGACAATTCGATCTCGTTACTTTTCAGCTCTTTATGAGTGTCTACAGTTGCAATCTTTTTTTGTGTAGGGCTGGTTCAAATATGGTTATTCACAAGTGTGATGTTCTGCTTAAAATCCAAGGTGGTAAAGTGATCAAACAGGTTAAAAACTGACAAGATGGTTTGTATATTTTTATTTCAATAATTTGACAAAATTCTTTACATTCGATTCGTTAATAATGGCCAGGCTCTGCAACAGTGTGAAAGCTAAAAATATAAGAATGAATAAAGCATTGATCTTTACCCTACTCAGAACATACACTACCTCAATAGCGCCAACAAGGAGCTGCTTGCTATCAGGACCTGCTAGTCTTGAGTGTAAGTCACCTAGGGTATGGACACTTCTCATCTTCCAGAATCCCTTCGATTAGGTATGGGTATTGGTTAGCAGCTCTTATGTGGAAGACTCAGGTTTGCACTAGGTCTGGATTTTGTTGTTAAATAGAATTCTAGTCTGCGATGACTGCTTAGTGCTCAAAGAACTGCTGGCATGGCTGTTAAAGTGGTAATAAATTTGCATAACAGTACTTGGCTACATCATTTGTGGCAATTAACGGCTGGCTTGATTGGGTTCAGAGTGGCTTACCATATCCAGAACACACCTTGTTACCTGAAATCTTTGTTTTTGGACTTCAGTCCTTGTGCAGATTCTGGGGTACAGTTGGGGGGTGGTTTCTCCTCTCCAGTATGCCTGAGACACAAGGATCCAGCAGTTTGAATACCAGTTTAAGAAAGATCTGTAAATCGGGACTATAGAACCCAAGAAAGACCAGTTCTTCTGCATTTGCCCTTGCAGGAGCGTTTAGCGCACAGTGTTGTACAGTGTCTTGTTTTGATTGGCAGGTTTCCATCTTTTCATACGAGGAGGCATGAGACTTAGCCCATGGGAATGGCAAGTGTGACTAGCAAGATCCGTTCTTTGCATGGAGTCTTACATAATTATAGCCTGGGATTTCAGGATCATTGTTGTGAACATTTAGTCTGTTTTCCTCTCATCCTGTCTGCAGTAATTTCTTCCTTCATTCTCATTCTATTCCTGGTGTGCCTTCTCCACACAAGTCCTTGGCATTTTGTTCCCACAAATCCATCGGTACCTATCATTCATGTCCTGTTTGTACACAGGTCGGCCTCCACAACCTCTGCCCGTTTTTAGTTCACTATAAAGGATGTCCTTAGGGACTCTGCCATCCTCCATTTTCCAAGCCACCTGAGCCTTCGTAGACTTATCATTGAGAAGACTTCTAATGCCTGCTGTTTCCAATACCTCAGTGTTTGTGATCATGTCCTGCTACTTAATGCTAAGTATTCTTAGGCATCTCATGTGAAAGTTATTTAACCGTTTCTCCTGGTGCACATAAGTTGAACCAAGTTTCACTGTCATAAAGCAGAGGTCTGAGAACACAAGCCCTAATGGACAACCCCAAATGGGAGCTCATTTTAAAAATTAATTTGGAGTTGCTCAAATTGATGTTTCTCAATATATGCTATCTGTAGGCAGTTGATCACTACATAGAGAGAAGTTGAAAACATCAAATCTGGTTCAGTGAAGATACTAGGTCTTTACATATTGATGACCTTCGCATGCCCGGCTTGCTAGCGTAGTTGGCTAAACCGGATTGCACAGTAACCGGGTGACGAACTCCTTGTGGTCCGGGGGTAGGCAGAAAAACCACATTTCTCCCAGATTTGTGGTATTTATCATGGAATCAAGGGTTGTGATATCCATAATACCGAGCCTAAGAGGGTTAATAATTCATGAAAAAGATGACCTTCACATAAAACCCACAACTTTCATTCCCAGGACGAGTGCAGCAAATACTCAAGGGAAACTCGCTAAGAAAATATGAACCAAAGCAAAATATACCTATATTTGACCTTACTCAGTCGTGCTTGATATGCCAACCTTTCATCATTACTTCTTCCGACCTGAATGATGTGTTTCTATCCTTTATGACCTCTTCTTTTTATTCCTGGAATGCCTCAGTGTCAGGGCAAGAAGAAATCTCTTTTCGCTTTGTATGTAGTACTTTCCAGTGTCTCTGATGTGTCTACAGTTCATGATCTGTATGGTCGACCTCTGGGCTGTAATTGTATAACATTCCTTTCTGTGGTGCCCCGTCTGTTGTCAATCTTGTTACATTACCAAACCGTTTGATCTGCATATTAAAGACTTTCTGGAACTTTATGTACCCTAAAAAAAACTGGAAACTAAGCATGATCAGTGGATGGTTCTTTTACTCTGTTGTACTTTACAGCTAGACTGATATCTGTACCTTTCATCCAATTTATGCAATTCTTAACTAGTCACTCTTTTATGACATACTTAGACTTTTAGGCTCTCTTTTGAATAACGGTCCCAAATGAACCACGCAGAAAGTTAACCCAATCAGATCCTCACTCATATCTAAAATTTGCATTTCTTTTGTGGCAATTAAGCCGTGTCAAAATTAAACTGCGCATTACAGCTGATCATGTCTCGCACGGAACGAGAATCGCGGACAAGCCGTGCTGAGTTGCAATACCGGACAGCGAGAAAGAAAGAACAGATATTCGCGCACCATTTGCAACTTCTGCCCCACAATTTTCGCATATAAAGGATTTAATTTTTGGTAAGTAGTAGACTTTGCCCTTTTCCTTACACTTTTCGTTCCTTTTTTCTCTCCGAGCTACACCTGTTAAATGTTTGTAGGGCATGACGTAATGAGGCTCTGTTTGGGTTAACTTTCTGCGTAGTTCGTTTGGGACCGTTATTCAAAAGAGAGCCGACTTTTATTTTGGGTCCCAGAACTCACACAGACAGTGGTTGTAAATAAAAATGTAGAAGTTTGTGGCTGTATCATATAAATGGCAGGAAATATACAAAAAACATTCATTGTAGCAAAATAAATAAATAGCACAACTTGAAAATCGAGGTCAAGAGTCAAAGAAGTCGTCACTCATAACATGTACGTTGTTGCCAAGGTTGTGGATTGGCTGTAACTTCTGTATTTCTTTGGTGCTGCTTCTCATAAATGCAGCGTCATAACTGTCCACTGTGCTGGCACTTCCTGCTGGCCTCTCTTGTCCTCCCACCCTTTTCTGCGGACTGTATTCTAAGTCCTCGTCGTCGTCGAGATGGTGTGTTCTGTCAGGGGTGCCACGCCACATGTCTGTACAAAGGACATTAAATGTACATGTCAAACATCGACACTCTTCATTCACAAAAAGCGTAATAAAAATTATGTGAAAGGAACTAACTTGTGAAGATAACCAATCAACTATATCCGGAAAAAACATTGTTTGGACACATTGAAATAGAGAAAACGGGGAAAAGGCAGACGGAGACCACAAGAGGTGACGTGTTATGAGATGAAGATCCGTATTAGAAATGATACAAACAAGGGTGTGGGCAGGTGTAGCTACCAACACCAGATGGCGCAGACTGTACATCAACATTCGTTGATGAGCTCTGTCAAGAGCACTATTTAGATTGATGTTCATTTCTGTAAGGCTGTTCTTAATGCCATCACTCCATTTTTTCCGAGGTCTTCCACTAACTCTATACCCGTTGTAACATTTTAGTGTGGCTTGCTGTGGCGGATAGTACCAGGGCATTCTTGTTAGGTGTCCAAACCACTTCATTTGTTGTTCTTTGATGACATGTAAGACTCGCTTTATTCCTAGCATTCGTCTGATTTCGTGATTATTGTCTTTCCTTGAAACTCCTGCAGCTCTTCTAAGGCATTTCGTCTCACAAGTTTACGTTCATTAGAGGATGTAATTGTCTACGTTTGGCAGTGATAGCATAGTGTTGGTCAAAAAATATTTATGATAAGATTCACTTTAGTACTTTGGGGAATCTGCTTGTGTGTCAACAAGGGAGATAGTTGCCCCATTACTTAATTAGCTTTAGCACATTTCAAGCTAATTTCTCTGTCCAGTTTAACATTAAATGTAAATATTGCTCCCAAATACTTAAACTCCTCTGTCTATCTTAAGGCATTTTTTATTTTTAATTTCTAAATTGTCTTTCTGTCTTCCTATCACCATTGTTTCTTGTCTTCAAGGAATTCCAGAGAAATTTGACTAAAAAGCTCCGCAAAATGGGAAAGAGGAAAACGTGCACAAAACAACACAATGTAACGTTTCGGCCGGGCAGCCTTTTCTTGTCTTCGCAGTGTTTATTTTCATATTGTATTCCTTCCCTTTGTTATTAATTTGAATAACCGAGCACTATCAGGCTGAAACATGGTACATGCTGTCGCAGATCCATGTGTGACTGACTAGCTGCTTGAACTATGATGTCTACGTATCTTGCTCCTATACACTCCTCTCTCTTCTTTATACCTCACCAGAGCTGAGGGCCTCAACTAACTCATGCCAAGCATCTTTATTTGTTTAACATCTATAGCTCTCCATGTCCTTCCCCTGTTCTCAGTATTTTAAAATTGTCCTTTTTCCCTCTGAGTTCCAGTGAAAAGACATACTAGTTAGATTATTATCATGACTGTTAAGGGCCAGTGAGTCTTGGATTTCAAAATTCCACATAGAGTTATCAGGATTTTTTAGGCACTGCGAATGGCTTCATAATGTCGGCATGCCAGGTTTGATCCCAGCTGCAAGCTTCTTGCATTGCTTTCGACAGTTGTGCCAAGAGCTTTAGTGTTCAGAAAGAAATGGCAAACTAGTTAGCTGCATATCCTTAACATGACATTGCAGAACCAACCCTAGCATTTTTGGGCTGTTGTGGTTGTCAAGGTTTACGTCCAGTAGTTTGCCATTGCTTTCTGGATGGTCAGTTTCTCAATACCACTCGAAACCAACGCAAGGCGCAGAGCCCGCAGCTAGAATCGATCCTGGCACCCCAGCATTACAAAGCAAATTCGCAACCCCTAAGCCACAGACGCCAACAATGGCAAACTACTGAACATAAAATTTGCCTTAAAAAACCCATAACAGTCAAAAAATTATTGGGGTTGACTCTGCAATGTCCTTGTAAGGATACGCAACTAGCTTATCAGGATTATGAACAACTTCTCTTTCTTTTCTTTTTCAGTATTCCGAGCCCTTAAGGTTCTTTGCTGCAGATATCACCTGCCTCCATTCATCTCTCTCTGGTTGGCCTTCTCTTTCCAGTTGGTGACACCAAGTGTTTGCAGGTCTGCATGGACATTATCTCTCCGTCTTCTTGGTCTGTCATCTGACATTCTTTCATTATACCTCAACCATTTCAGTCTGTTAGCTCTCTTGATGCCAGTGATCAAGGCTGATTTAAACAGATTATGAATTTCGTTGTTGCTTCTCACTCTCCATTCCCCTCTGCATCTTTGATGGTTCCAAAGATTCGTCGTAAGATTGTTTTCGAAAACCTATAATAAGGCTTCATTTCTTTTAGTTGTGCTCCAAGTTTCATAGCAATATTACACGACTGGTATAAAAAAACTTTTAATTTTATAAAGAGTAGTTACCGGCAGTGTGGAACTCTGTATCTTTGTCCACTTCGACATCATCATCCAAGTTCTGCATAGTCTTGACCTACATACAAGAGATTAATATAATTTATCACAATTTGTACTTATGAGAGCAATAATTGTAAAATCTGCTTTCTGAAGTATCCAAAAACAAATTTTTTTTATTATATCAATAACAAATAGTTGCAGATATTGGTCATCATCATGTGCCATGCCAAGCACATATTGGTAGAAATTTTTCTGCTTTCAAAAACACTTTGGGAGAAGATAACAAGAAATTATATAATTTATATAAAATAAAGTACATGCAATATATATATATTTTTTAAATCTTTGAAAACAGGAAGTAATATTTATGGAATCTTTTCTTTCTTTTTGTTTTCCCTACCCATAGTGAGGGGAGCCGCCGTGATCTATTGGCTAGACGCCCGCCTGCAGATCGCAAGGTCGTGGTTTCTGTTCATGACGCGGGGGTCAGACTTTTTTCAAAAATGACCTTGGCTCCCAGGTCGACTCAGTCTTGAGTGGGTACCAGGTACAGTCCTGGAAAGTAAATGCAGCCGGCGTGATGCAGACCATATCACCTACCAAGTGCTGTTTGGTCTATAAAATATAGGTCTAGCCCTATATACCCAATACGTCTGAAAGGCATGGAAAAAGGTCCTTTACTTTTTACTTACCTGTAGTGAGAAAGCCACAGACCCCTCTCAGGTTATGGTGCAATGTTAAGTCCACCACTGGATCCATGCAGCTCCGTTTCCACCAGAATGCCACTGACCAGATCTGAGACCTATCTACTGTATGTAGATAACATGTCTGTAGTACGTGTTCAGTATGATGTGTTGCCTGCCCACATGGGCATAGTTCTGAGACACCATCGTAACAGTTATTGTACATATGGCTGCAGAATCTGCTGTGTCGTCCAGTTTGCAGTATAAAAACAATGGTCTGCTGCTTTCATGTGAGGAATTTGACTGAGTCCTCATTATTATTTTCTGTATGGGAGGTGTTCCAATGGGTTCTAATAACTGCCATAACCTTAGTTGTATTTTCCTGATAACTGCTTCTGCATGTAACTAAGAACAACAACAGTCTGCTCTTTCATTACCCACAATTAATAGAATGATTACTGGATAAAAGTCTAAAATATAAACATACCTTGTTTTGTTCATTGAGAATTTTCGTTTCAAATTCACGAGCCTCCAGCAATTGACGCCGCCGTCTAGAGGACTTCTGGGATGCACTGATTTTCCTCTGTTTCAGCTGCGGGTAATATGTGGTATCATTAAAAAAATTGCAGTGGTTAGGTTATCGTCATATGGTAGGTCATTTAGAGACCATTGCTGTCATCACTGTAAGCTAGAAATCTGCTCAGCCTTTTGCCAACTTTCACTGCTCAGGATGTCTTTGACATCGTATGTTAGACATCATGCTGGTTGACTCCTGCCTCCTTCTTAATGAATTAGTTTTCATCCCTGTTCTGTCCAAACTATTATAAAATTTAATATGGTCACAGTATTTCAGCTAATGAGAAACCAAATATACAGATTATGAGTTAGGTGGTCAGGTCACCACAGTTCCAACTTTATAGTGAACAGGTCACCTCGTAGTTGCTCCATTCCTGAAATGCCCATCATCGTCCCTTGTGCAAAACATGGACACAACTGTCATCTCAGCGAAGCCAGTAGCATACATACATATTAAATGCAAAAGACAAATATCAGAAGTTCCAACACAAACAATCCAGCACTAGAAAAGCAGTTCTTTGTCAATGGAAGCATAACTTAAAATATATCAGTAGTTGCACACACAATTAAAATTGCATAAGGCACCACTAGTTCTCTGGCAACAAATTACTCATAATTTTCTGAATCTATATTTCACAACACAAACCACATTGGGCACAGTCAAAAAGCATGAACACAAATCTGCAGCTCGCAGTGTCACACAATGCACTCAGCTTAACAGTTGGGTGATGGTCTACATATAGAGAAAATGTAATGACTAACTATTGTGAGAAGAAAAACTTGCAAACAACTAAAAACAGTATCTGCCTATCCACCAGAAGTCTTCCAAAAGCCAGTTTGCCTCGATATTTAGATCATGAAGAATGACAGTTTTTTTGTTCTTGTCCTGGTCTATGGTCTCCAAAAATGTTCCTGTTATTTTTAAATTCAGAATCCCCCAAAAGGCATAAAACAATCATCACAAATGTTCCTTGTAAGCAATAACAATGCCAGGAGCACTATGCCAAAGTCACTTAAGTACAACATTTGTGGTGTTTCACCTGAGTGCATTTTTGTTGCTATTTACAATATTCCAAAGGCATTCATGTGAATTCAAATGCCAGATAGGTATTACTTTCCATGCAACTACACATTTTTCATTAGCTATTTAATGCTCAAACGCAACTTTCTCGAAACAAGAATTTAGAATTAGTGTGACTTCAGCATACTGCCAGCGTGAATGTGTAAAGAAAGATTTCTGTGATAAGTAGAAAGAGTAAAATATACTCTGAGCTCAGTTACCTCTGATTTGTTCTTCTTCATGTTAACCGGTTGTAAACTCTAGCAGAAAATACTGGTTCATCCACTTCTGGACTTTAGTTGTTTTCCAGAACCAGAATGTTGTGTGCACATCTGTTTTACAGATCTGAATTATTTATAAGCAAACTACTGGTCCCTTGCTTCTCAGTCAATGCACTCTGACTTTGAAGAAAGCCTTCAGTTAGTCGACTCTTACAACATGCTGGCTGGGGAGGCACTGGGTCTATTCTTGTTTTCCCCACAATAGGGTTCTGAAACCCACATGGGGAAACTCAGATTTGTTTTTAAAGGATGAGATAAAAACAACAACAAAAGTACACTCCTGGTTTCATATAAGAGGACAATTTAGTGGACAATATTGAATCCATGAGAAACTTAACAGATGCCTGTGTGAGTTACAGGGCCCTAATGTAAGGAAAACAAGAATAGACCCACTACCTACCCAAAAGCATGTCATGAGAGTCGACTAATTGGGAGCTTCCTTGGAAGTCAGAGTGTATCTGCCTGAGAGGCAAGTAACCAAAAGTCTGCATACAGATAGGTCAGATCTGTAAAACCGATGTGCATGCAACACTCAGGTTCTGGAACGGGACTACAGTCCAGAAGTGGATGAACAACCAGAACTTTCTGCTGGAGTTTACAGCTGGTGAACGTGAAGAAGAAGAAACTTACTGACTTAAATAATGAAGTCTATAGTCCTCAGATTTGATGAACAGAGAAGAAGAATAAGTTCACGGATGACTAATAAAAATAAATACAGGCGATAAGTTAGCTGTATATTCATTTACAGGACGTAGCAGAACCAAACCAAACATTTTGTGGTTGTTTGTGATTTTACTAGGCAATTTTATGTTCAGCAGTTTATCATTATATTCTGAAAGGCCAGCTTTGACACCATTGTCGAAACGTCTGAGGCTGCGGCTGGATTCGAACTGAATATCTCAGAATTATAAAACATGTTCACTATGCCTAAGCCCCAGGCACTGACGAGAGAAGTGATAATAATATTATAAAAAAAGTATGCTTTTCTTATAGGTAAATCTGGAACAAATAACTGATAAGCTAAGAGAGTGTGGGTTAAAAGTTGAAAATTGTGAGTATAAACAAAACCTTGCTGACCTTTTCTCTCTTTTCGTCTGCAAGCCTCTGTTTCTCCTGCAGCTGTTCGGCTGTTAACTTTGGAACACTAAGAGGTTCCAGGGTCTGAAGAATAAACAGAAATTTATGGTTATTTTCTACTGAATAAATTACTAGCATTATAAAAAATGGAGACAAGTCATCCTGGACTTCTGATGGGTAAAGGTAACAATTGGGTTCAAGTAAAAAAACACATTGACAGTAACAGCTTGAATCTATCTATAGTCCTGTAACATCATGACATTAGGTCACCACAGTTATGGTTGCCTGTCTGATCACCTTTCTGTTTTTTGTCCTCATGATAATTTCTGACGTGTTGTATCTGAGGACCATCCATCAGCCTGCAAACGTTTGGATCCAAGCCTTTCTTGGTCTGCTTCGTCTTCTCTTTTGGGTTAAATACCTTAAAAAAAATTCTTAAATGCTAACTACCTAATTCTTTTCTTTTTCTTTTCCTGCTGTGAGTGTCAATCAATGTCTTTTTTTTAATTACATGATTAGACTTCAGTGACTCAAAGTATATGCTGCAAGCTGTGGTGGTACAGTGGCTAGCATACTTGCATGCCAGTCTTGTGGGTTCTGAGTTCCATTGTGGGGGGGGGGGGAGAATAGATCCACTGCCCCCTCCCACCCTAACAAGCATGTCATAAAATGTTACTGTTTAGGGGTGTGCTTGAGAGGTGAGGAACCAACAATCTGCACACAAATAAGCCAGACATTTAAAACGTGTGTGCATACAAAACTCAAGTTCTAGATCAAGACTCAAGTCCAGAAGTGGACAAACAACCACAATTTTCTGCCAGAGTTTACAGCCAGTGAACGCCAAGAAGAAGAAGCAGACGTCTGCCTTGTATTCAAATCTCCACTGAAGCTTGGACTGAAAATAAAATTGTTTGGTGCTTCCTGATTGACTAGCATAGAATGGATACAATTAAATGTTCAGAAAAGTAAAAAGGTTAGTATACAGACTACACAACCTGCCCTGCTAATCAAAGCACTACAACTAATCCTGGTAAACGTTCTAGACTAGCATTGTTGGCAAACTCCCTGAACAACATACACAAAAGAAAAGTGAACTTACTTGTAGTTTCTGAGGTCGTTTCTTGCCGCCTAATGCAGCATCGAGACCATCAAGGGTAACATCGAATGCCACACTTTTGGGAACTGCAGAAATCAAGAAGCAATTCGTTTATACCAGGTTTGCTACAATTATTAGGTTAACCAACGTATTTAGGTATACACTTGTTTAAACCAGGTTTGCTACAATTATTAGGTTAACCAACGTATTTAGGTATACACTTGTTTAGACCAGGTTTGCTACAATTATTAGGTTAACCAACGTATTTAGGTATACACTTGTTTAGACCAGGTTTGCTACAATTATTAGGTTAACCAACGTATTTAGGTATACACTTGTTTAGACCAGGTTTGCTACAATTATTAGGTTAACCAACGTATTTAGGTATACACTTGTTTAGACCAGGTTTGCTACAATTATTAGGTTAACCAACGTATTTAGGTATACACTTGTTTAAACCAGGTTTGCTACAATTATTAGGTTAACCAACGTATTTAGGTATACACTTGTTTAGACCAGGTTTGCTACAATTATTAGGTTAACCAACGTATTTAGGTATACACTTGTTTAGACCAGGTTTGCTACAATTATTAGGTTAACCAACGTATTTAGGTATACACTTGTTTAGACCAGGTTTGCTACAATTATTAGGTTAACCAACGTATTTAGGTATACACTTGTTTAAACCAGGTTTGCTACAATTATTAGGTTAACCAACGTATTTAGGTATACACTTGTTTAAACCAGGTTTGCTACAATTATTAGGTTAACCAACGTATTTAGGTATACACTTGTTTAGACCAGGTTTGCTACAATTATTAGGTTAACCAACGTATTTAGGTATACACTTGTTTAGACCAGGTTTGCTACAATTATTAGGTTAACCAACGTATTTAGGTATACACTTGTTTAGAATTCTTCTTCTTCTTCTTGGTGATCACCAGCTGTAAATTCTAGTAGAAACTTCTGGTTGTTCATCACCTTTGACATTAAGTTTTGTTCCAGAACTAAAGTGTTGCATACACATCAGTTTTACAGATCTGACTAATGTGTAAGACTCTTGGTTCCTTGCCTTTCTGGTAGATGTAATCTGCCTTTGAAAGAAAATCCCTCACCAGTTAACTCTTACAACATACTTGTTGGGGAGGTAGTGAGTCTATTCGTGTTTTCCCCTCAATAGGGCTCAGGAACCCTAAGATGTTGAACAGTGTATCAGGGTTTTGTCCTGTTGGATTACCATCCAGAATTTGACTTAATGAGTCACAGAGGTGTCACCCCATGTGGGTTCCAGGGTCCCAATATGAGGAAAACCAAATTAGGGCAACTGCTTCCACAACAAGCCTGTCGTAAGAGTCGACTAATTAGGGAAGTCCTTCAAAGTTGGAGTGCATCTGCCGGAGACGCAAGGAACCAACTGTCTGCATACAAATAAAAAAGATCTGTAAAATGGATGCACATGCAAAACTCAGCTACTGGAACAAAGCTAGAGTCCAGGATTGAATGAACAAACGGGTCTTTACAGCCAGTGAACACAAACAAACAAACAACAGAGGTGTTAAACTTCTAGGCAGGCTGAAAGGGGAATAAACAGTCATTATTTTAGGACTATCCTGCTTATATACCTCTCAAATTTTCCCTACCAAATTATATAACAATACATACCTGGTGTTTGTGATAATGAATTCAACTTATTTCCGTTGTTATCGATAGTTTGCTTGCTCCACTCTGTTGTCGCTTCTGCATGTCCATTAGCTACAATTTGCTTTTTATCTTTGAATGTATTTTTGTCTTTCGTGATAGCCTTTGCTTTCCCTTCTTCTCCAGGAGATACTGTAGATGTGGAACACCCCATTGTGGTGTAATATGTTAATCGTAGATGTAGACAATTTCAATTACTTGGCTTGTTGAAGGATGCAGTACCTTTCAACCATCAATGTATCTGAAATGATTTTTAAAATGACATTAGTAACACAACCTGGGTATGTGACTTCTTTGTTCCTCTTCCAAGGAAGGTACATTACACACAGCTATGCTCTCTAAATGTTGTAGTAGTACTGGAACAAATAACATCCTGTTCAACCCTCAGTGCTATAACTGGATTGTACAGTGTCTATTGTAAAGTATACTATTTCTTTTTTAAACAGCATTTAATATTTATTAGGCTCTCCTGTCAACTACGGCCGGTAGACAACAGTAGACGACCGGTTAGTTGGAGTTCTGTCCCTTGGCTACAGTGCAATTACGGAGTGGAAAAGGAGGGAACGAAACAATAGACACAATTACAGTGTGTTGGCGATAGACAGCGTGCACTGCCCTGCTATAATCATACGGTTTGGGTTAGAGTTAGGGTTTGGGTTGGGTTAGAGTTTGGGTTAGGGTGTGGGTTAGGGTTACGGTTAGTGTCGCCGCATCTCGTCTTCGCACAAACTCATAGTAGCAACCCAAACCCTAAACCTAACCCTAACCCAAACCGTATGATGACATTAGGGCATTGCACTCTGTCTATCGCCAACACACAGTAATTATGTCACTTGTTTCGTTCCCTCTATTCCACTCCATAATGCGTCGCAAGAAGCGGTAATTGAACGCGGTCGCTGATTTGAGTCGCAGCACCGGGTCTGCAAGCCATGTCGACATCACTTTGTGTTGTGATTCGTTTCCTCGTGCACTCCGTAATTGCACTGTAGTCAAGGGACAGCCGTAGTTGACAGGAGAGCCGAAATTTTTGTGAGCCGATTCGGTAAAATTCATGGGCCTGAAAGAGTTTAAAATACAACTCACTGCAATAATCTTATATCAAAGGAAAGCATGTTTAGTATAGACAGCCATATTGAATTGCAAGCAAAGAGTAAGCAAAAACAAATGTTTCATAAATCTACTTTAAAACAGTTTTACTTATTTCTTTTAGTAGTTTTATTGTTTAACTATACCAACCCACTCCTAATTTATTACTTTAATGTAAAGCTTCTTAGAATATAAAGCACCAAGTAGCAACTGTGTGAGACAATGACAGTTAACATAATAACCTGTCATTTCCTTGGGGGATGCAATTTTTCTCTATTTTGAAGCCCCATCCTGGCTCTTGCTAGGGGCTGCAATATAGCCCAGCCATAAATAGGGTTTAATTGCTGAATGCAGTTTCTGGGACCTCTTCACGGGTGATCCTCATCCACATGGTGGCACTTTGTGTCATCAGGTGTTTATCGCTTGTGTGATCTTCTTCTTTCTTCTTCGCGTTCACCAGCTGTACACTCTGGCATAAAGTTCTGGTTGTTTGTCCACTTCTGGACTGCAGTCCTGCTCCAGAACCTGAGTGTTGCGTGTGCATCAGTTTTACAGATCTGATTCAATTGAATGTAGACTACTGGTTCCTTGCCTCTCAGGCAGATGCATTCCGACTTCAAAGGAAGCTCCCCAGTTAGTCGACTCTTACGACATGCTTTTGGGGAGGCAGTGGGTCTATTCTTGTTTTCTCCACAATAGGACCCTGGAACCCACACGGGGGATCGCTTGTGTGATGTCCCGGTGGGGTAAAAGTCGACCACTACTACTACAGTAAACTCACTTTCTTAAATGAGTTGAAAAAAAATTGATTGTCTAGTTTAGTATAGTAACTTAAAAGCTTAACAGAAATACAGTTATCACAGTTTCAAATGAAGAAAAGGCAAGTATTCAATCTGCTATTTTTCTGTCTAAACACCTAGCTGTAAACGGCGGCCTTGTAAATCTGCCTCTAAATATCGGTGAAGTAAACAACTCGTCGTCACAACACTCAACACACACTGGCGACTGAAATATTCATCAATTATTTTTGATCAATTAAAAACTTTTTAATAGGTTGAAAATATAAACTTACTTCCAACAAGTGAAGAGAGAACAGACATTGCTTAATCTTGTGTTATAATTATAAATAAACTGAAGAAAAATTATAAAAAAAGCTAACACAGAGAGAGAGAGAGAGAGATACACGCCACCTGTTTTCCAGTATTTTCTACTTGGGTGAACTTGTATTGCCCCCGACGAAGCCTCGGGTACCGTGAAAACGTGTGAAAGAGAGATCCAAGAATGCGGCAGTTGTGTACAGGTATCACAGCGACGTGTAAACAATTGCGACATTTACCGCAAACCGAGACGGTGTCGAGTCGTAAAGTAAGTAACGATCCCTTTTTACGCCTGAGGCGCATCGGGCACAGGGCAGCCCTGACGGGAAGAGCAGCCATATTTTTTACAGACTAATAGGCACTAGGTGGGTAATGTGGTCAGCATTACGCCGGCCGTCTTTGCTTCCCCAGGACATACATCATGGTACCCATTTTTAGGCTGGGTCGACCCGCGACGCCCCATACCATGATAAAAATCCACGCAGCCAGCAGTGGGTTTCGATCGCGGTACGTTGGAATTACGAGTCGGACTCGCAACGCCTTAGCTACGGACGCCGCTGTCGAGTCGTAAACCTTAGTCTAATTTTGTTTATATCATGGAAAGATAAAAATTGAACGAAAAGTAGACCAGCAAGCTCCATCGTATAACAAACACAAACAAAACGTGATCATTGCGGCTACAGAGCACTCATTAGCACTTACAAAAATCAAACAAAACCACACGACAACACAAAGTGACTCAAGCTGACGTATCCCGAAGCAGCCACGTTGATGTCTAGCCAGTGTAATAAAAAGGCACGCTGTGACGGTGATTTGCTGGCTCGTAACTCCAAGATTTTTAGATAAAACTGTGTTGACTTTTCAGTCCCCTGGGTGTTTGTATACCCCAAGGTGAAAATAAAGCTATTCTCAAGAGACTTGCAGAGTGGCTAGGTTTAATGTCCCTCACTGGGTTTGCTGAGATCGAATGTGTTGGGTCGAAAGGATGATTTCTCAGCCTAGCTGTAAACCACAACATAGCGTGCCAAGTGCCTTTTTAGGGATGAACGCAAAAGATCGGCACACTCAAAAGCAGACAGAAAAACTAAAGAAGAGGTTAGTCTGACTGGTCGTGTACAGAAGCACAATTTTCCCACAGCACGACCCCCTAGTCATTTAGAAGTGGCAGGTACTAATGTTGCCAATCTAAATTTAGGTTTGTATACAGTTTTTTTAATCATCATCATCCTCATCATCCTTTATGTGCCGTTGGACGTCACATAGGGCCCGCATTTGATTTCTCCACTCGCTCTATTTCATGGAACTGCCTCGATTTCTGACATGGGGTTCAGCTCAGCATTTTTAGACTATCTTAATAATTTTCTTCTGAATGTTTCCGTCTGACGTCCTCTTTTTTTTCCAGGCCGTTTGTTTCCTATTTTAATGCCTGTTTTATCATTCTTTGCTCATTTCGTCTCAAAGTAAAAGCGGCCGGCGTAATGCTGACCACATCGCCCATCTTGTGCCGATTGGTCTATAAAATATAGGTCTAGCCCTATATGCCCCAAACGCCTAAAGGCGTGGAAAAGGGTCCTTTACTTACCATCGCTTATTCACCTTTCGTAAGTTTATAAAATCTGGGTTTTCAATCCGCCCACCCAATTTCCAAAAAGTTGGCACCCCCCCTCGACCCAGCCTGGTTGTTCGTCCACTTTTGGACTCTGGTCCTGTTCAAGAACCGGAGCGTTGCGTGCACATCCGTTTGATAGATCTGATTCATTTGTATTATTTGGCAGTTCAAGTCAGAAGGAGAATGGCAACCACAGCAAAGCAAAAATTAAACAACATTAAAGTCTAGGATACCAGGTGTAGTCTTGGGAAGTAAAGGCGGCCGGCCGACTGTTGATCCCCTCACTCATCGATGACCGGTTAGCTTATAACAAACATGAGTCTAGCCTCGTTTACCCATGTCGGTTCTAGTGCAAAGACATTCCAGTTTTCTCAACAGGTGTCATATCCATATCCTTGTCTTTACCTCTTGGTCCTCTGCCCTCTGGCACTTGTTTAGTTCTCTCCCTAAGCTCTACATTAGTTATTCTTTCATACCATTTAATGCCTTTTATTCTGCGCTGACACCAGTTAATGAATGTTTGTAGTTTATTTGTAACTGTTTTAGTTGTTCTCCATGTTTCCGCCCCATACAACAGTGCTGATTTGACATTAGAGTTAACAATTGTAAGTTTAGAATTAGTTTTAATTTCCTTCGGCCTCCACAAATTCCACAGCGCTATGAAAACTCTCTTGCCTTTTGCATTCGTTTTTTAATATCTCTATCAGTTCCCCCGTCTTTATCTACATTACTGCCTAAACAGATGCACGACTCCACGTCTTACAGAAGACTGCCCAAACAGATGTAAGACTCCACGTCTTACAGAAGACTGCCCAAACAGATGTAAGACTCCACGTCTTAGAAGGGACTGCCCAAACAAATGTAAGACTCCACGTCTTAGAAGGGACTGCCCAAACAGATGTAAGACTCCACCGTTACAGGGGACTGCCCAAACAGATGTAAGACTCCACGTCTTAGAGGGGACTGCCCAAACAGATGTAAGACTCCACGTCTTAGAGGGGACTGCCCAAACAGATGTAAGACTCCACGTCTTAGAGGGGACTGCCCAAACAGATGTAAGACTCCACGTCTTAGAGGGGACTGCCCAAACAAATGTAAGACTCCACGTCTTAGAGGGGACTGCTCAAACAGATGTAAGACTCCACGTCTTAGAGGGGACTGCCCAAACAGATGTAAGACTCCACGTCTTAGAGGGGACTGCCCAAACAGATGTAAGACTCCACGTCTTAGAAGGGACTGCCCAAACAGATGTAAGACTCCACGTCTTAGAGGGGACTGCCCAAACAGATGTAAGACTCCACGTCTTAGAGGGGACTGCTCAAACAGATGTAAGACTCCACGTCTTAGAGGGGACTGCTCAAA